GGAGGAGCCATGAAGCCAGAGGACAGACACAATGCTTCACTTATTCCGTCCCGTAATTTTGAAATTAGAGAACACTTGAGGTTCTTCTAAATTTAGAGGAAAAGAATTAGTCATTTTAAAAATTTTGTATAAAATGAGACGAACACTGTTATATCACACTATTTCAAATTCAGTCACTTACTTGTAACTGCATTATATTCTAAAACCAAAGACATCGTTTCTAATAAAAGTTTTCCAACATTAACTGGCCTAGAGTTAGCAAGCATAGGAGCAGACTGACCACTCAGTTAGCAAAATGGACACATATTTGCAACCAATTTCTCTTAGAATGTACATCAGAAGGATTTAGGTAGGATTCAACGTTCAAATTACATGATTACTGAGAACTACTTTGTGGTGGCTAATTTTTAATTTGTGATCAAAGGAGCACCTGGTTATATCCAACTCACCCTGACCACACACATACTTATATTCTCACACACACATACAGGTTTAAATTACTGCACTCAAACTCCATGTTCTAGAATTAAAGACTTCGAATTGTCACTCATTTATGCAGAACAGACTCAAGTTTGGAACTTGAAGGCACATTTGGCTCTGTCCTTGAGCTCTGTCTTTACTTGACTTTATGAAGAGATGCCTCTACCAGAATTCTCAACCTTTCAAAGAAAATGTTAACCCTATCCCCAGCTTGGGAGCTCTGGTGGCGTAGTGCCTAAGGCATTTGACTGCCAACCAGAAGGCTGGCTGGTTCAAACCCATCAGCCACTCCTTGGAAGGAAGGAAGATTTCTAGATATACTGAAGTCTAACCCTGGAACCAGCCTTTGGGGCAGAGATCCATGTAAACAGACAAGGTGTTTAGCCTCCATAGAATTGGTATTTCAGAATTATATCTCAATGGGTACGAGAAACTCTTCTAAGGAGCTCATCATGTCTCCCACAAGAGTATGGTGGTAAATGTCACTCACAACATTACTTCTGCCACAGAAATCTTTAAATCCACATTACCTGCAATCACTGTGCTAATCCCAAGCAATCAGTTGGTTTTAATGCCACAGACACTGTGCATCATGTCGCTCATGATCTTTCCCCTCTTGCATTGGCTTCCAGGATATTTACTGACAAGTCTGAGTCGCAGCTCTTGCACATGGCTTTCACCTAACATCATTTATTTTATCTGCTAACTTGACTTCTGACGTCAGTTTAGGTATTTTACCCTTATTTTCATCATGCCCTGCTTTCTAATCCATTTCTTACAATTAAAAATAACTCACAATTAAGTACATAGAAGGTCAAATATATCCAACCCCCAATTTTTTTTTTTAAATCTAGATAAGTTGCTCTAACAAATTTGTGGGTTGGTGCAACACAGGAAAGAGTCAAAGAGGTTATGAAAAGTAACTAGGTTTAGTAGGTTTAGTATTCCCACTCTTGCCAGAGATGGGAAGTTACAGCGTGCAATGACACAGGGTCACACTGCAGGTTGCTCCTCAAGACAAGGTAACAACAAGTTAATGTTATAGGAGAGGATTTATGTAGGGTAAGCAGGGTAGGGTTAGTGAGGTAGTGTGGGCTTCCTGGCAAATGAGAATTTTGAATAATTCTGTAGGCTCAGGAAGCATAGGGTTATCCCTAGGTATTGGGTACCTGGCCCTGGGCGATTAGGATGACCCAGGAGTATGAGAACCTGACAAGGAAAGAGGACTTAGTAGCTGCCTAAGAAGCAGGGATGGATTGGCCTCCAGCAAGGACCTCAAAACTGTATCAAGATGGCACTTTAAGGAAACAGTATTACATAAATGCAAAGAATATATAAGAATCGAGAGCAACGCCACCACCTAGAATCAACTGCATTGCTTTGATCATGACTTCACTCCCTCTCTTCACCTTCAAGGTACACGTTTGAAGTCAGAACCTACTCGCTCTCTCTCCCCGGATGTCGGCATATCTGTAGGAAGGACTACCTCCAGCCTCAGTGTTGTCCAGGCCACTGGGGTCCAGACTGCCTGGGTAGGTGGTGCACACTTTTCTTAGACTTTGATACTTGCTTCTTAGTGTCGTGTTTCACAGAAAATTGAGATGATGGAAGCCTAATAAAAGAAGAATTTGGTAATTTTTTTTTTTTTCTGGAAAGTTCCATTTCAGTCTATATGCAGAAAATCTTTGTTGCCTTGTCAGCTTTTATAAAGAAATCTGCTTTCCTACAGTTATAGATCTCTCATTAGGAGAATTCTTTAACAAGCCAGAGAAAGGGACAATTGAAAGTCTACCCATTTTTATGAATAATAATAAAAAAAAAAAGAGATAATTGACCAAAGAGAAGAAGCAAGAATGTGGGCTATGATTTTCTTCAAGCAGAAATTGTATTATAATTACAGTCTTAAAGACTGTAGTTAGGGTTTTGCAACAAAAATAATCATCAAATCATCCAAAAACTTAAGTCTTAGAATGGTATATCAAACTTTATGATGTGGGACTTAAGATAACACAGTGTAAAGAAGCTGTGTACTTACACTCAAATACATACACACACAAAATTGAATTCTGGCCAGGTTCCACTACAAGAAAAATTACTAGCAGAGTCTGAGTCAAAGATGTAGCTAGACGTCTATGGTCAAGCCAAGCATTTGTTAGCTGAAATTGGACTTCTGTCCTAATTCTGAGTAACACTCAAGTAGTAGTGACTTAGTCCTTCCTTGCTGCTGTTGTTGTTGTTTTGCCATCGAGTTGGACCCGACTCATAGCGATCCCTCCTTGGGTTTCCGAGGAGGTATCACTACGGAAGTAGATTGCCCAACCTTCCTTCCAAGTAGTCCCTGCTACAACATGAAAATTATGTAAAATCCATCCTTATGTTTTTCATAGGCAAAAATCAAGCACTTTAATTCATGAATTTACCATTTGTTCTCATCTTCTAAGATGTAATGAAAACATTCCCTTAAAGGGAGAGATTGATTCTCTTTGTTTTGTTTTGTTTCTGATTAAGATAATATAAGCAAATTATACATTTGTAAAGTTTAGAACGTTATAAAGAAAAAATATAACTTGTGTTTTGCTATATTTGAAATTGAAATATTTTGGCTTATTTCATTGAACTTTTTCATGTGGCTTTTAAATAGCTGAGCCTGTATTATCTGGATAATGGTCTCTCCTGCTTTTTTTTCAAAATAATAATTAATTGAATAATAGTTTCCATTTACTCAACATTGTTGACACTGGGTACTAGGGGAGTATTATTGTTGTTAGCTGCTGTCAAGTGAGCCCCAGCTCATGGTGACCCAATGCACAATGGACCAGAGAAAGTTGTGTTGTGATCTACAGGGTTTTCATTGGCTGGTTTTCAGTAGGTTGTGAGGCCTTTCTCCCTCATCCATCTTAGTCTGGATGCTCCACTGAAACCAGTTCAGCATCAAAGCAACATGCAAGCCTCCACTGACAGATGGGTGGTGGCTGCACAGGAGGTGAGATGGACAGTAATTGAACCAGTGTCTCCTGCCCGGGAAGTGAGAATTCTGCCATTGGACCACCAATGTCCTATATTGAAAACTATTGTAAAGATTTAAAAACATTAATATAGGTGAAAGTACTTGGCTAAGTGTGTGACAAAGAAGGCACTTAAAACATTTTAAGAATAAATGAATGAATGAATCACAGTCAAGACGGACTTCTGATCATGAAAGACAATCAAAATGATGCCCTTTCTCTGAGCCCTTATTAAACATCGGGTAGCTTGTGAAAGGGAGGCATTGGTAGTTCAGTAGTAGAATCCTCAGCTTCGATGAGGGACACCTGTTTATTCCCAGGCAATGCACTTCATCATGCACAGTCACCACCTGTCTGTCAGTGGACACGCTATGATGCTGAACTGGTTTCAGCGGAGCTTCCAGACTAAAACAGATAGGTAGAAAGGCCTGGAAATCTAGTTCAGCAAAACCAGCCAGCAAAAACTCCCTGGATCATGGCAGTGTAAGACTGGACAGTGATTAGTTTCACTGTGGTCTCACCGTGAGTCGGGGGTCAACTGGACAGCAGCTAAAAATAAGAACAAGCTTGCAAAACACGAGCAGGCAAATGGTACTCAAAATCTTCAGTGGATTTCATTCCATCATTGCACTATGGGCAGGAAAATGTGGCAAGGTTCACATCTCTGATCAAAACACCAGTGAGTCTGAAAGAGTTCTGTGAAGGCTCAGGCATTTCCTTCTGATAGGTTTCAAGGCCAGAGAAGCAAAATTTGAAAACCAAAGCCTGAACCAAGGTCATTACTTCTGTCCTCTCACTGGGGCAAAAGGGCACTTCCCTTTATCTTCATCTTACAAGCATACTAAATGTCTTGAAAGGCTTCCTTCCTCTAACTCAGGAAAAAGATCTCTCCTCTACTTGGCTATGTATCTCACCTCTCACATTTCATGCTGATGACAAGTGAGAGCTTAACTATTGCTTTCCGTTTCCGTTTCCGTGAGGAGAGGCTGTTTGGGAGCTCTTGACATGGGCCCATCCTTCTTTTTAAGGAAGCACATTCCCAAGCTCTAGAATGGCCTTGTTTCCAAAGCAAGCACAGCATCCACTTCCTTTCCTTAAAATATATTTTCACTGCGATAAAAATATGCACAACAAAACATTCTCCAATTCAACTATTTCTCCCTGTGTAATTGAGCATCATTCATTATGGTCTCCACATTCTGCAACCATTGTCATGATCCTTTTCCTAATTATTCCACCACCATTAACATAAACTCAATGTCCTCTAAACAAAAACTCCCCCTTTTCTCCTCTCTCCCCACCTGGTAACTAATTATCCTTGGTTTCTCTATATTTGCTTATTTCAGGAAAGTCAGGCCATACAGTACTTATCCTTCTGCCATCAACTTATTTGGCTCAGCATAATGTTTTCAAGGTTCATCCATGCTGTGGCACACATCAAAATTTCCTAACTCCACGTCCTTTTTCAATGCATGAGTGAAGACATTCATACTCAACACTTTTGGCTTACTTTTTAAAATTATTTTAATAGTACTCATTCAAATTTGAAACTAACTGCATGATCAATATTGAAAATTGGAGAACACAGACCAAAAACAAATATTTTAATAGTATCTTATTAAAATTACCTGTCATCTTTTCAAATTACAAAGGCATGAATTTTCACTTGGGAAAAAAGCCATCCTGACATGAGGGAGGCGTTTCCATGAGGATGTAACGGGCCTTTCCCTAATTAAAAGTCGTACTGCTTTATCAAATCTGTGTATGGAAGTCTTTTCTCATTAGCACAAAAATGTATTTTTAACCTGGAGAATTAGATCACATTTGAACAAAACAATATTCTATTTGAGATGAAATAGACTTTTCTGATTTGAGCATCCAGTTGTTTTCATTCCACCATCAATGTTAATGTCTTTTTGCATTAATGCGAAGTAATGGAAAATGAATTTGTGTGAATGGGTTACCCATAAACTCAATCATGGCAAAATCAATCTCATCACTGCAATGAGAAATGATCCTGATTTTTCTTTTGGAGGCCAAAAACCAAAAGCCAAACTCACTGTCACCAAGTCGGATCCGACTCATAGGGACCCCTCCCTGGGTTTCCGAGGTGGTATCTCTATAGAAGTAGATTGCCCAATCTTCTTTCCAAGCAGTGGCAGGTGGGTTTGAGCTGCCAGACTTCTGGGTTTGAGCTGCCAGCCTTCTGGTTAGCAGTCAAATGTCTTAGTTTTGGAGGCCAGTGTCGTCAAATTATCCACATTTATTTGTTGTAACATGTTATTTATGTTTTCAGACCTCCATTTCTTTCCTACTGCATATTCTTTGCCACTCTCTGCACAAGTAGCTAATAATGGACAGTACGGATTGGAAACCACTCTTTTATGTGTCGCTTTTCTCCGTGAATGACAGATAATGCTGAGTTTGCATTAAGAATGTATTTCACACACAAAAAAAAAAGAATGTATTTCACATCAATCTCCCTGACAAACAATTCCAATCAGAGCTATAAATGGAATCTTAGGGCATATTCTCTGCCTAACACTGTCAGCCCAGCTTTTAAACAGACAGTACCATGCTGTAGGCGCCTGTCGAGTTCCTTGGGAGACAGAGTTACAGGGAGGTTCCTGGCCTCTTGCTGGGCAGGAAGTTTATTATCTCCCTTCACAGAAGCAGAACAGCCATGATTTGCTGACAGCTTACAATGGTTAAGCCTCCTGCATGAGGACAGTCACAATGCAAGGGACCACCAGAGAAGCAGTGACCAGAGGGAAATGTGATAATGACCTAAAATAGGTTTATCAGCTATTTGAACCTCACCATGCAACAAGAATATGCCATTTTAGCAAATTCTGTAATATCTCTTTCAAGAATGGTTGCTGAGAATGTCAATTTTACTATCCTTTTTCTTAACGGGAGCCTGAGGTAAAGGGTGGTACAGATGGTTAACACTCTCAGCTGCTAACCAAAAGGTTGGTGAGTCAAGCCCCCCCAGAGGGGCCTGGGGAAACAAAACACCGGCCACTGAAAACTCTCACATACAACTCAACAGAAACTGGAGGTGATGGGAAATTATGCTGAGAAGCAGGCAAGAATAGTACACTTTTGTCTTGAAATCTCTATTTGATGACCAAATAAGTAGTTTTCATAATTTGTTAAATTTAAACCATTTGATTTCAATCATAAAATTAGGACTCAGACCCCCATACTCCTGCTACCTTTCTCCAAAGTTCCTTCTAGGGTTGGCCAACTCATAAAAACCAAGCATTTATTGAGCACCAGTGTATGCTGCACAGAGCACATGCATAATAGATCCAGCTTCTACCCCCAAGAGGCTCACAGGTTAGTGACAGACACAAAAATAGACAAAGAAAAATAAGCACAAAAGTGACTGAGAGCCCAGATGAGACCTTGGGACTGTGAGGGGCTATACAGTTTATTCAAAGAGAGCCAGCTATTAAGTGTAGAGCCAGACTAGGAAACCAGGACTATGTCACTGAAGAAATAGAAATAGTTTGGGAAGAACA